GTACTGTGTGCCTACACACACCCGTGCACACGCTAGATGTCCTTCCTGGTCGCATTACATCATTCATGTACTAAGACAGGTCTGTGGCTGCTGAAGGAAACGCCTGCTTCTACATGGACGGTGCTTATCTCTGCCTCCTCCAATCCTTTGTTTCCTTATGTTCTATACTGATAGGTAAACCCTGTCCTCTCTCGCGCCCTCTCTCCTTTCCTCCCTCAGCCATCCCTCCCTCCTCCGGAAGGGGAAAAGTTCTGGGTTCAAATAAAGTGCTCGGCGTGAATGGCCTGCCAACAAGGCATGCACTGTCATTGGAGGATGTAAGGCAACGATAAAGACCACTAAAAGCTTGTCTGTCTCCCCTCGTCACAAAGCCTGGAGATTCCAAACAAGGCTGGTGCAGGAACTCTGCTCCCTGAAGGGCACCACTCCACCCCTGGATGGAGCGTGGGCAAGGCTGGCCGCAGCGTCTCCATTTGATACATGATACACAGTGGCTCTGGCTAAGTCAAAGGACATCAGTGAAGGACTTAGCGATCACACACACAGAACCAGGGCTCAGCTCCAGGAAGGACCTCAACACATGGCACAGAGACTCATGGACTTCAGGATAAGGAGACATCCCCACCCCAGGGGTCTATGGAAGGGGAGAGAGCACTTTGGCTCAGTGCACCAGGCCATGCTGGCCCTGCGGAGGAACCACAGCCTGATGAACTTGACTTCCCCATGTGGCGACTGGAGCCTCCCAGATGGCCAGCTCTGCTTCTGTCCTCCTTCCTCTCCTCCTCCCTGGATGTGAGTGATGTGCGTTACCAGCTAACCTTGTACGTTTGTGTTTGACCAGTAAATCGAACATGGTGGAAAGACACACACCTGTGTGGTCACATTCCTGGGAGAAAATATCTCTCAGCCAGGTTTCCCGTGTTTGAACGCACTACAACCCTCCCACCAACTCGTACATCCCCATGTTGCATTGTGGATCATCCTGGGCACTATTATGGGAGTCTCTGACCTATGACCCTCAAAGGTGGGGGCAGTCCACCATGGAGAAAAGGAGGCAACTGGGTAAAAAGTGGATGAGCCCTTTAAGCTTCCATCCAGACTCAGAGCGGCGGTTCTGGAGAGAGAGTGAGAACCCCGTACTTCTTCAGGTCAGTCTCAAGCTTCCGTCACGGCAGGAATTCTGCAAACACAGCAGCCGCTCAGGGAGAGACCAGGTGGTAGAGGAAGACTTTTAGCCCTTCCACGAGGCCTTAGGGAACTAGGGAACGGCTGACACAAACACAAGCTCCGGTCTGTCCCGGCTATCCTGTCTCGGGGGGCCGTTACAGTCGCTTTCATACACCCATCCTTGGAGTTTCCTGCCTTGGGAGGTCTAACAGTATTTTTGGAAAAAAGTCAGTTCTAACTTAGTTTTAGGTTTTTGGCTTTTTTGTTTGTTTGTTTGTTTAGTTTAATCTTGACATAAAAAAACAAACCCGCCCTCTAAAATGGGGCTGCGGGATTCAAGAAACATCACTTTTCCACTCAGACGGCTTCCATCCCTCAAGCTACCCCAAATCAGGCCCTTCCAGAGCGAGTCTTTCAGCTGTGACCACCCACATCCTGCTGGCATAGTCTCTTTCTGCCCAATTCAGTCATAGCTTCTGTGGTTTGCAACAAAAAATCCCGCTTGATACACTGACAGGGGGCTATGGCAACTTCACAGAACATGGAATGATAAATTTGTTTGGGTGCAACATTTCTGAAATCCATGCCTAGATTTCTGCCATAATGTGCATGATCTGCAAACATTTTTAGGTTTTAACTGATTAATATAAAGAGAACAGATTTCCTGCATTTCATAGACACCATTCCAAGAATAGAACCACACCTTCCTCCCTCACTTGTCCTCCTTCCATTATTTTTCTTTTAATTCTTTTGCAGTAACATGCTTTCAATTTACTTTATAATGGGAGGCTTAATGCTCTTCTAAATGAAGAGTTCTGCAAGTAAAAAGTGGAAAGATTCCTGTTCTGGAGGAAGACAGACAAGGGTCAGAAACAATCATCAAATCACAAGATGTCAATTTTGCTCCTGTACATTCAGTTTGTTTGGTATTCTATAGATGAGCGACTACAAACTTTTGAAGCCCCCTCTTATGTTCAAATTACATTTCTTCCTTATATGCTTATAGGTGAGATATTAAAGTATTTTAAAAATTTTTGCATATTTTATTTCACACATTTGAAATATTTCTACAGAAAAAAAATTCCTTCATGTGGAATGCAGAACCAAAAGGCGTGTGCATTTGTAATTCTGAGAGATGTTACTGTAATTTTAAAGTATACTCTAATTTGCACTTTCACTTGCAATGTGTTCAGAGTTCCTGATTTCCCACATTCTCTTTTTTTAAGTTATACAAGTTTTATATATATCTGTACCCCATGTTCACAGCAGCACAATTTATAATAGCTAAGATACCGAATCAACTCAGATGTCCATCAACTGATGACTGGATTAAGAAACTATGATACGCACACACACACACACACACACACCACATACCATGGAGTACTACTCAGCTGTTAAAAGGAAACCCAAAATTCTCTCTTTTTCAACAAGATGGTCAGAATTGGAAGCCATTATACTTAATGAAATAAGCCCGTCCCCAAGAGACAGATATCATGTTTTCCCTGATCTGGTGTAACAAATATAGATGACTGTTTACAGCCCTTGTCTCTTCCATTGAGGAACAAGGTTCTGTTCTGTTTTGCTTTGTTTTGTTCTCTTTCTCTTCATACTATTTGTTGAACTCCTTTACTGATAGTGGGGCTAACTATACTATCATTAAATATACTAAATCTGTATACATGAGATATTAAAGCATTTTATAGATGAGAAAACCAATTCTCAGATGTTAAAGTAATTTACCAACTAGTCACATAAATAGGCTATAGCAATTTGGATTTCTCACAAATTGTCTTTCCTGTCTACCATGCCTTTACGAAAGCTTAGGAGTCCTTCCTTGGGGATACACACTGCTTAAATCTAAGAGATACCAGGCAAAAAACACCCAGTGTGGCTCCATCCACTGTAACCACCCACCCATTCGTCCATTCACCACATAGCTGGATCATGACATGGTCAAGTGCAGCTTCCAACATGGGAGGTGCAAGGTTGCATCAGCCGGTGCAAACTTCAGGCTGCTCAGATTCTCCTGGGAGGCTGGTGGTTCAGTTTACAGAACGCAACAATATTGGAGTCAGTTAAACTTAAGAAATATGGGGGGGGGATCTGAATAGTGAAGCCACATGGTTCACACAGGATGAGAATAACCAGCGCATTACATTGGAAATCATTTCCATGTGGGGCTGGTGCTGTGGTGTAGCAAGTAAAGCCGCCACCTGTAGTGTCAGCATCCCATATGGGTTCCGGTTCGAGTCCCAGCTGCTCCACTTCTGATCCAGCTCTCTGCTATGGCCTGGGAAAGCAGTGGAAGATGGCCCAAGTCCTTGGGCCCCTACAGAAGACCTGGAAGAAGTTCCTGGCTCCTGGCTTTGGATCATCCCAGCTCTGGCCATTATAGCCATCTGGGGAGTGAACCAGCAGATGGAAGACTTCTCTCCCTTCTCTGCCTCTCTGTAACTCTGCCTTTCAAATAAAAATAAAACAAATCTTTAAAAAATAAATAATTTCCATGCAGTTTAAGCCTCCAGTGAAGAGACTTTTCACTGGAATGACTTCTGAAGACACAGAGAGAAAATACTGTTCACTTGTTCACTCCGGTCTGAGATGACGATGGCACCTGGTTTCCCAAATTCCCATCATCTGTGTGCCACGTTGGGGATTTCAGTGGTATCTGTGCAGCAACCACCATTTTCTTTAAGTCAAATGCTATTTATAGCTTTGAAATATTTTAAAGGAAACTTGAGCTAGCCACCTTATCCATGAAAAGCCGCTAGCTAACCAACGGCAAAAGGAAGACCTTTCTCTCTCTCTCTCTCTCTCACTGTCCACTCTGCCTGTCAAAAAAAAAAAAAAAAAATGGATACATTGAAACAAAGCTACTGAGTCTGACCGAGCTGCGACAGCAGTGGAAGCTCTGAGCTGGAAGCCCGAGTCTCCTGTTGCAGACACAAGTTAGCAACTGCTCAGCAGGTGTGAAAGAGCCACTCGCTCTGCACTAGCCTTTCTTCTGGAGCTAGTCAGAAGGACTGAAAGAGAACCGGAATGGAAGCATTTTCTCACGGCACAATTTGGTGCTATTTAATGACGTGCCGGCACCCCCTCCCTTACAAGCATCTCCTTGAAGCCCGCGGGGTTATGTGCTCCTGACTCTAGGGAACACACAGAGACAGCGCCGAGTGAGTCAGGAGATTCCCACCAGGTTGAGTGTGGGAGAGCTATGGACGTGGCCGTCATGTCCGCACCCAGCACTGTCACTCACGCACTCATCGCTAGTATGTGCTCAGTCCCTGCCACGCATCTCGGGGCTTTCTAGAGAGGAGATGCATTGTGTTGCCTCCTCCTTCCTGGTAGCTCAGGGCATGCACAGTGCTGCTGACAGTCACTGGGGCACACTGGTTAAGGAGGAAGATCGAGAACACTTGATTTTTCGAAGTTGACCCAGGAACACCTTGGTGGCCCTGGGGCCTGGAGCCTGGGAAATAGGAAGTGGTTTCTCTGTGGTAAGCGCAAATGTCTACGTCATAGGATTCCAGGGTAGCTCTGGATGTGTACCTCTCCCGTCTGTGTATCCCTTCTGCTTCACTGTCTAAACTTGTTTGCTATTCGGAATTAAACTTTCCATAACCAAGGGCACATTTAAGACATATTGTTCAATTTGGTTATAGTAAAGATTTCTCCAGAGAATCCAAAAGATGATGCCTTGAAAGTGAAAAGCAGGTGTAATCTCGTTACCTACATCCTTGAAATGGACCACATACGCGGACAGTCCTGAAGCATTCGGCCCAACGGGCTGGTCCTCCCACTGCAGTGAAGTCTCGGGACACATAACATACCTGTGAAGCTTAAGAGTGACAGTTCCATACACGGTGGCAAACCCAAGAAGACGTGTCCATCTGAGAAGAATGCAGCGAAATGTGCTTGGCTCGAAGTACAGAATGACCACCTGTGGGAGGGGAGCAGAACGGAAAACCTTCAGTGTCAGCTGACGACCCACGTGCCACGGCCGGAGCTTTGACACCTGACGTTCACACACAGCCCCCATTTGGGTAATCTAGCAAATGCTGCTTTGCTCATTTGCTGTCCAGAGCAAACAACTACAGAGCCTCCCTACTGCTCCTAAGTCAAATCTGAATCCTTTCCATCCACCTTTTTTTTTTTTTAATTTTTTGACAGGCAGAGTGAACAGTGAGAGAGAGAGACAGAGAGAAAGGTCTTCCTTTGCCGTTGGTTCACCCTCCAATGGCCGCCGCGGCCAGCGCGCTGCGGCCGGCGTACCGCGCTGATCCGATGGCAGGAGCCAGGAGCCAGGTGCTTTTCCTGGTCTCCCATGGGGTGCAGGGCCCAAGCACCTGGGCCATCCTCCACTGCACTCCCGGGCCACAGCAGAGAGCTGGCCTGGAAGAGGGTCAACCGGGACAGAATCCGGCGCCCCAACCGGGACTAGAACCCGGTGTGCCGGCGCTGCTAGGCGGAGGATTAGCCTAGTGAGCCGCGGCGCCGGCCTTCCATCCACCTTTTGAGAGTTTCTACCAACTGTCTCTACATCTGTGGTGTGTCTGGGTTTATCGCCATGACTTCCCAACATGGGCAAGCCAGGCCAGTGGCTCCCTTGGCCATTCTCCACTGGAGCCTGGCTTCTTCCCACCTCCACCCTTCTGGCAACACCATTCCCCTGTCTGGAATGGCCCCGATGAGATGGCTCGGTGCTGCATCCCTTCTTCACTACGTAACTTTGCATTGGGTTCAGTGATCTCACGAACTCCTCACTTCTTGCCATGGGGTTTTCATTCAACAAATATCAATGGAGCATTTACCATGAGCCAGGAACTGGGCTGCAAGATGCAAATACAAGCTACCAAGGCCAGTGAGAAGAAGGCACCCTACAACCTTCTACATGCTACTGTGCAGCCATGAGCAAGCCTGTTAGAATCAGAGTTGGTTTGGCCCTACATAGTGAGCCATGTACAGTGGTGCAGAAGGCTTGATGCTGTTGAAACGTATAGACGTACAATCTTCTACCTGAACTGGTTTTACTGAAGGTGACACCATTCTAACAAAATATACCCACTGCCTACACCTGAGCTTTGCTTTGGTTTCTCATACCAGAGACTTGAGGATTGTTGGGGGCCATGTGGTGGAGCCTCTCTCTCCAGCAGTACCAAGAGTGTCAATACTAAAACTTTGTCCTGGTAGTTCTCAAATATGTCCACTGTATAAAGACATCAAACCAGGATAAAATTCTCACAGAGCGGGGAAAACACCCGACAATAGTGTCAAGGACAATTAATGAAAGCTAAAAGTAGGAGTGAGCAGACAGTGTGATATTCACACACAGTGGATAATATTCAGCCCTAAGAAAGCACCAACTCCTTTCATCTGTGACCACATGGAGGTCATTATGCTTACTGATATTAGCCAGGCAAAGAAAGACGAGTACTGCACCATCTCACTCACATGTGAATTCATACCAGCTGCTGGGAGGGAAGAGGGTAGGAAGGGTAGGAGACAATGTTGCTCTGTGGGCTTATGAAGTCAAATAAAAACATTTTCAACTCTTTTTTTTTTTTAAAGGATTTATTTTATTTATTTGAAACAGAGTTACAGAGAGGGAGAGGGAGAGGGAAAGGTCTTCATCTGAGCCAATCTGAAGCCAGGAGCTTCTTCCGGGTCTCCCACATGGATGCAGGGGCCCAAGCACTTGGGCCAACTTCTATTGCTTTCCCAGGCCATAGCAGAGAGCTGGATCAGAAGAGGAACAGCCGGGACTAGAACCAGCACCCATATGGGATGTCGGAGCTTCAGGCCAGGGCTTTAACCTGCTACACCACAGCGCTGGCCCCACATTTTCAACTCTTAAAGGTATAACTAACTATCCAGATACAGGAAGGTTAGAGGTCACCAGCCAGATTTAACTCAACCAAGTTTACCCAAGTTCCCCAAGGTTGAAGGTCAGCAGAGGATTCTCAAAGCTACCAGAGAAAGACTACAGACTTCGGGGCAGAGACTTACAGGCCAGGGAGAATGGGATGACACTTTCACAGTGGTGAAGAAAAAAATTACCTGCCAATCAAGAACGCTATACCCAGCAAAGCTATCCTGTAGATATGAAAGAAAATAAAGACATTCCCAAACAAAAACTAAGAGATGGATCACAAAAAAGCTTGTCCTACAAGGTATGCTAACAAGAGGCCTTCACAATGAAACAAAGAGATTCTAGCAAGTAAAAAGAAAATATTAGAAGGTTAGAAAGTGCACTAAATAGGGAGGCTGGAAGTTACGCATGCATCTGCACTAAGGTGCCAAGAACACCCACTGGAGAAAGGACAATCTTTTCAATAAGTGGGGATGGGATAACTGGATCTCCACACGCAAAAGAATGAAACTAGATGCTTGCCTTCTGCTATGTAGAAAGTCAACTCAAACAGAATAAAGACATAAGTGTGAGGGTTAAGACCATGGAACTGTTAGAAGAAAACACAGAAAATGTTGCACAATATTGGGATGAACAGATTTTTATGGTTTAGACCTCAAAAGCACAGGAAACCAAAGCAAAACTAGACAAATGGGATTCCACCAAACTTAGAAGAAGTTTCTTTTTGCACAGCAAAAGAAACAAGACTTACAGAATGGGAAAACTATTTGTAAGCTATAAGTGACAAGGGATTGATAACCAGAATCTACAAGGAACTCAAGTCAATAGCACAGGAACAAATAATCCAATTAAAGACGGGTCATAGACTTGAATAGGAATGTATTCAAAGGAATACAAACAAATGGTCAATGGGTAGATGAAAAATGCTCAACATCACTAATCGTCAAGGAAACACAAATCAAAATCACACCAAGGGCCGGCGCCGCGGCTCACTAGGCTAATCCTCTGCCTGCGGCGCCAGCACACCGGGTTCTAGTCCCAGTTGGGGCGCCGGATTCTGTCCCGGTTGCCCCTCTTCCAGGCCAGCTCTCTGCTGTGGCCAGGGAGTGCAGTGGAGGATGGCCCAGGTGCTTGGGCCCTGCACCCCATGGGAGACCAGGAGAAGCACCTGGCTCCTGGCTTCGGATCAGCGCAGTGCGCCAGCCACAGCCATTGGAGGGTGAACCAACGGTAAAGGAAGACCTTTCTCTCTCTCTCTCTCTCTCTCTCTCACTGTCCACTCTGCCTGTCAAAAAATAAAAAAAAAATATATAAAAAATAAAAAAATCACACCAAGATATAATCTCACTTTCAGTTAGATTGGCTATTATCAAAAAGACAAAAGATAAGAGGAGTTGGGAGGATGTAGAAAAAAGGGAGTCCTTATGTTGTGGGAATGTAAAGTAGGGCAGCTAATACAGACAATGGTACGGATGTTCTAAAAACGGAACCAATATATGGTGTAGCAATCCCCGCCCCCCAACTCCAGGTAGAGACAAGAGGGAAATGAAATCCATCTGTTGAAAGGACGTCAGCACTCCCATGTTCCCTGCAGCACCATTCACAACAGCCAAGAAACAGAAACAACCTAAGTGTTTACCAACCAATGAATAACGAAAATGTGAAATTTACACACAACGGAATACTATGGGCATAAATGGATGAGACCCTTTCATTTGTGACCACATGGGGTCATTCAGTGACACCAGCAAGGCAAAGAAAGAGAACTACTAGATGATCTCATTCATGTGGGACCTTTAAAAAAGATCTCAAACAAGTTGAGAGAATCGTGGTTACCACAAGCTCGGGGACAGGAAAGGAGTGGAAAGGTTGATGAAGGGCACTAAGTTATAGCTGGGGGGAAGTGGTTTTGATGTTCCATTACACAGCTGGATGACTACAGATAACAATAATGTACTATGTACACTGGAGATATAAACAAGAAGAGAGAATTGTGAATGTTTTCACCGAAAAGAGATGATACATGTCTGATACATTTACCCTAGATTGAATATCGCATAAAGTAGATATGCATTGAGACACTGCTCCATAGATACACACAATTTTAAGTGTCAGTTAAAATTCCCTTTCAGCTTTACTCATTCACTGGTACACCATTATTTGTCTTTAATACTCCAGTTCTCCATGCCTAGGTGAAAATAAAGATAAGGATTTGTCTTCAGGATTTAGTCTACCCAAAGAATGTTTGGATTCAGCAGAATATTGATTTTAAAACTATTTCATTTATTTATTATTTTCACAAAACAAATTAAAATTCTATAATTTATATTCTAAATATGACTAATATATTGTATTTATTTATAAAAGATGTATTTATTTTATTTGTAAGGATGAGAGACAGAAGACAGACAGACAGAGAGAAACTGCCTACCTACTAGTTCACTCTCCAAATGCTGCGACAGCCAGGGTGGGCCAGACCAAAGCAGGAACCCAGAACTTGACCTGGGTTTCCCATATGGGTGACGGAGCCCCAAGTATTTGAGCCATCACCTGCTGCCTCCCAGGGTGTGCGCCGGCAGGAAGCTGGCACTTCCATATGGGTTGTGGGCGTCCTAAGTAGTGTCTTTAACCTCTCTGGCAAATGACTTTGTTGTTTATTAAGATATTTAAGCTGAAGGAAGAAGAGAAAATTTAGGGGGAAAAACTAATTGAGAAACTTTGCTAGATGATGAAGGGGCTTGGAGATTACAGTGAGTTCCTCTTCACAGCAGAAAGAAGTGGCAGAGCAGAGACTGAGAATCTAAAGTCTACAGCACATAAAATCTCAAGTATTTCCATGAGAAATGACCTCAGAAATTACTGTAGAATAGTGGATTACTAGGGCTGCAAAATTATGTGAGATATTGTAAAGTTTTACTTTGTACATTAAGCTCTCTCTAACAAATGAGCACAGCTGAACAATGATAACATAGATTTTGCAGAATTCTTAATTTCATGTTTATTTTTAAAGTTATTTATTGAAACATGGAATAATAGAGAGAGAGAGAAGTGAGACAGAGAACAAAAGACCT